CTGTGCACTGGCCAACCGTTATTAATGCGTTTATCCCGTTGGATATAGGGTAACCTTACGTCGGCGCAACTGGAGCGCAACAAGACGAAAGAGCAGCTCGAGGAGGAGAAGAAAATCTCGCTGAGTATTCGCATCAAACCGTTGGAAATCGATGGTTTCTCAATCGAGAAGCTCCGGTCCAAGGCTAACGAGCTCTGGGACACCATAGTCAAGCTGGAGACCGAGAAGTACGATCTTGAAGAGCGGCAAAAGCGCCAGGACTATGACGTGAGTAAGAGAAAAAAAGAAATAAAAGAAAAAAAAAAGGCGTAGAGACACTCGTAGAGAGATTCGTAGATTTTAGAGTAAGGATATTGTAAGAATTGGGATATTGTAATTGGACACGTTCTCTCAAACGTAGCTTAAAGAATTAAAGGAACGTCAGAAGCAACAATTGAGGCACAAGGCTTTGAAGAAAGGTCTTGATCCCGAAGCTCTCACCGGCAAGTATCCTGTAAGTAAGGATGGATAAATAAAAAAGACGTTGAAGTGGGGAATCTATCTAAAGTTAAGCGATACAATTTTTATTCTCTTTATGCAGCCCAAGATCCAAGTCGCCTCCAAATACGAACGTCGAGTGGATACCAGGTCTTATGACGATAAGAAGAAGCTCTTCGAGGGTGTAAGTATATTTTCCATAGATTCGATAGTCGCTGATTCTTCGAATATATAAATTGCCCCGATTAAATATATATCCGTGAAATGATTCTGATTGGAAATCTCAATGATTGAAAAAAAAGTGGGGACTACTATTAGTATTATTCAAAAAAATGTAAAATTAAACAATTTGCTACGACGAACAATTTTTGTTGATAACAAGATGATTAATCGGAAAGAGGGATATTAAAGAGGACAAAGAAAAAGCGACACGTTTGAGAGAAATAATCGTAGAAATATAATAAACGAAAAAAAAAAAAAAAGAAAAAAAAGTGATCAGTGAAAAATGTCGATTGAATCGCAGGGCTATGACACGCTCCTAGCGGAAATCAACGAGAAACTGTGGAAACAGAAAACAGAACAGTTCATGAAGCGTACCAAAAGTGAGTCCTATCGAGCTCTCTCTCTCTCTCTCTCTCTGTGTAAATCATCCCCTTTTGCTTGCGTTGTTGGTTGAACCCCTTTAGCCCCCCCCCCTGTGCTCTAGGATCGTTTTTCTAATTCATGTTGGAATTTAATAGTAGATAGATAGAGCACAGAGATCGTTGGAAATGTTGTTATTGCTCGTTGTTGTTTCATTTCATAAAGTAAAATGTTCCCATATCCCCCTACATCGATCGTAATTCATCGCATCCCCCCCATAATTTATTGTTGAATCAAGCATGAACACGGTGGTCACGAAGTTTATGTCACAAATTGTAAACGGATTTGTTACGAATTTTAAGACAAGTGTAAATCGATACACAAACTTCATTCGTATGATTTTATGCCCTTATTTTATTACTATATAAGAATTTTTAAACTTATAAACTTTTTTATTCGGGAACAAAGTACACGAGAATTTAACATTTTATTTTATTATTTATTTTTTGTCTCTGCAACATAAAATACATACATAAAAATTGAATATATGCATCAATAATAAGTAAAAAGTACTTCTTACACCGATATATTCTCTATCATAGAGAGAACATATTTTGACATTTCACAGCTAAATGTCTAATCTGATGTGTGCAATGTAAAGGAATGTGTAAGCCGATGGCTGGTTATTATCTTTTAGCATTAGGAACAAATTTGTTTAACCTAGGTAACGTTACTAAAGGTTAATTTGTTCTGCAACTTGTCAAGCCCCGAATTCAAGCTAAGGAGAGACTTATACATCAATATTTTGAAAACTAAGGAGAACAAGTGCCCCCCGTGTGACGATGTATCCTAGCATGCCATTTTGTCCGTTAATGTTTCAGGGTCTGACCGAACAGCAGAAGGAGTTCATAGAGAAGCAATGGGCTCAACAGAAGGAGCAATTCCTTGGTCGCCAGAAGAGTATGTATGGTGGCTTCACTTTCGAGCAAACGTGACACGTTGTTTCTTATAAATATTTCACGTTTTTTTTTTTTTTAAAAAATCTTAAGAATAAAATACAACGAAGGAAAAATTATTGATTCATAATAATTGAAAGAGGAAAAGATATTGCATGTGGTTTTGAAAATGTGTGTAGATCGTTCAAAATATATAAAAAGTATTATGACTTGTATTGAATGCAAGGGATGAAAAATGTAAAAGCATTTTATTTTTTCTCATCCGTTTATTATTTTACGTATCATCGTGTGCATTTGCTCGAACAATAGCTCTTAAAAGCTAATTAGCATTTTGTAAAAACTAGGACAATCTGCAATGGTCACAAAGTGAAGTATGTTTTGTTAAAGTCGAAGAATCTTGTTCGATGAAAAGCGAAAAAAACCTTTTAGAAAATACACGTTTGTATTTAATTTAATTTTCCGTTTATTTATTTATTTTTTTTCGTAAAAATATCTTTATTTTATTGCTTTTCGTTCTTTATCTTACATGTCTTACATGTAATATCTTGATAAATATATTAATTTCTAACGAATTTTCGCTATCATCGTTCGAGATATTTTCATTATACAAATTGAGCATTATCGATTATTTAAAATATATTTCGTTTTTTCCCCTAAATAGCGAAATTGCCGAAGTGGTTCGGCGAGAGGCCAGGCAAGAAGCCAGGAGACCCCGAATCACCCGAAGGCGAAGAAGACGTGAAGGCTGCGGCTGAAGACGAAGAGCTGGAAGAGCCACAATTCGAGGAAGAAGAAGAGGAGGAAGAGGAGGAGGAGGAGGAAGAGGAAGAGGAAGGCGAGAAGAAGGAGGGAGAGGGCGAAGGTGAAGAGGAGGAGGAGGAGGAAGAGGAAGAAGAGGAGGAGGAAGAAGAGGAGGAGGAAGAGGAGGAAGAAGAGGAAGAATAAAAAATCTCTTCTAAAAAATCCTAAAAACCACAAATCGAATCGATCGATCATTGAGAAATATCGAAACATCCTATGAAGAACCATCGAATTCATATATAGTCGTGGCGGCAGTAGAGGCGAACAATGGCGGACCATTTTTCCAGAATCTTGTTATTATAGATGGCTTTTATGAGACAGAGGGAAAAAAGGGACAAGAAGGTGAACGTCTGTAACGTTATATTTTTCCACGAAGAAATCCATTCTATAATGGTGAGAATTCCGGCGAGATAAAACATGCCATTATTATTTCTCAACTGTTCTACCACTTCTACTTCTATTATTATTATTCTACTACTTCTATTGCGCTATTACAATTATTATTATATTGTACAAAAATACACGCACACACATTATTAAAATAAAAAAAAAAAAAGATTTATCGTATAAGACTTCCGTAAGGAATCTTTCCCCTATCCCACGAAGAGATTTGTTACGCATACTTGTAATCAAGATTGTAAATTAAAAAGGCTATGGAAAAAAATATTCCGAATCTAAACTTCAATAATGTTTTTATTATTTAATTCGAAATTAACAAAGCTGATCTTTTTAGTTTTATTGGCATAAATTTTATTATGAGCAATAAATTCGGAAATCACGAGAAAATAGGAGAATATACAATCTGATTAATGGAAGGAAAAGAATTTCCTCTCTAAAGTTCCTACTTTATCGTAAGAGTTATAAAATAGTTATAAAACTTTCGGCAATGCCTTTGTATTATACTAACATCACCTTATCTATCTCGTAATAAAAAGATATGGATGAAATTATTCATGACAATTATTATAGTAACACTTTTCTTTCATCTCGATATTTTTTCAACGTCTATATCTGTCCTTTTCTTCTTTAAATATTTATCTATTACGAGTACAATGCACTTAGTAAACATAAATGATATCTATACACTGCCGATCACGTTATTTCTATATGACAATGCTCCTAACGTATTGTTTTACTAATTAAAAACATATCGATATAGTCAAATTTATTAATAACGAAATAAAAATACTTTAATCGATTTATAATCCTTTCGTAAATATCCGGCGATTGCCATGACATTTCGGATTCGCGCCAAAACTTATGTATAAACAGGTACGAAACGTTGAAGTGTTGCCAACAAACACTCCTCCTTAAAATAAGCAATACGGAATCTGCGTGTAATGATAGTTGTCGTGAGAATTTTAGTACCTCAGAAAGTTTGATTTTCAAAACAAATTTTTTAATATGTGAGAACTTAATTCGATAAAAATACTATATAATTGCTTATATAAAATTATTTATATTTAACAGTGTCGATATAATTATACGTATATAATTTCTTATAATATATAATTGATACAAGATTTAAAAACATTCTAAAAATGGATTGTTTCGGATACTTATTTTAAGGTAATTTCCTGTTTTGTTTTATATAGTTGTATAAAAAATATTTTTATTTGTAAATGAATTTTTCAAAACTAATAATTGTAATAATCCTTTTGATATGATTAAATGAATATAAATTATAGAGTTTAAAAACAATACTTTTATAAATATATATTCATTGAAATATGTTTTTGTTAATATTATTTATAATTAATAAATTTATTGATTTCATTGCATGGATATTATTATGCATGTATTTATTTATTCAAAAAATATTATATACATATAATAGAACAATGCAATTATTAAGCTGTAAAATTAAAAAATTTCATTAATCGAAAAGAAATCATGCAAATTTACATGTTAGGGCTATAGTTCATTAAAATTCAAGGCAGACTTTAGTGACGGAACAATGACGCAAAAATAAGAACGAACGAGAAGCTGTTTTCTGTTTCTGTTCTTCTCACATGCATACTTCCGTTTGTATTTTCTATCTTTCTTTTTCACTCTCATTCATCCTTTTCTGGTTAGCTAAACCGGTAGTGATGGGAATAACATAACTTTATACATTTTCAAACAAATCATTGTTATATTACAAGATTGATACTTTAAATTGTTTATTATATACTCACAATTTTATATATTTTTATATTTATTATAATTTTAAAATCATCATTATATATTAACAAAATCACAATCTTAATAATCTACAACTGTTCCACCTGGTGGACGGGAGAGTATTACTTCTGTCGCTATTGGTCGCAACTATTTATAATGGTAACCGTTGGCTCCAGTCTCATTTCTTCTTTCCTTTACGCTCATTCTTTCTCTGTGTCTGACCGTCGTTTCTCTTTCTCTCTGTCTCTTCTTCTCTGTCTTTTTCAGTCTGCAGAGTGGACGTTCTTAAGCGTCGTTAATAGTGTCTCCAAGCATTCGTCCGAGCCAGACTGCGCTGTCCCTCCTCTCCTACCTGAGAAGACCAAAATAGAGCAACGATACGATCGACACTACCGACGCCGCAACCGTGTTGTGATCGAACAATAAACAATAACACAACGACGCGTGTTACGGGATAGCGACTACCGCGACCTGTTGCCGGCTGCCAAAAAGATCCCGCTGGATGTCGCGCGTGTGTCGGTGAGATCGTGAAATGTTCGTTTCGAAGTCTTCCACGGCGGGAACGAGGAATTGTGTGTCATGGCGGTGATCGTTGTACAGAACGGTCACGTTCGTATACACATGGCTACGATGTTGGCTATCAAGGAGAAAAAGAGAGGAAGAATGAGAAGCTGACTACGAAGCAGCTTGACCACGAGGGAATTACTCTCGATGAGGTAAGAATAAAACAATACTTATTGCGCGAACTCGATTTTTTTCGATGAACAAATGACAGTTATTTGACGTTGAACACAATTTTTATCTTTGTTGTTGTCTGCACCACGTTCGACGAGTGTTTGAAGATTCGTTTCCTAAACTCAGAAACCGACGCCTCGTGCGAGACTCGGAACTCGACGGAAATTGACGATTCCTGTCGAGTAACTACCGAGGCCGGCTTCGTCGTGGTTCGTGTTAATTCGCGATTTCCCGATAACGAGAACACGCGATAAGAACGATTATGAAATCGGGCATACTGAAACGTGAGAATAATTGGTAGCGTGATGTGGATAGTACAAAAGAATAAGTAGTATAAAAGAATAATATATCTAAGATTTTTTTATTTCTATTGTAATATGAACTTTAATTTGAATGTTCAGAGCGTGAAAATTATAATGCACGTTGTTGATTGATGACTTTTTATCATTTTTAAAAATGTAAAGATTTCTTTAATATAATGTTTTTTGATGATAAATATCACAAACAGGTTTAAAACTTAATACATTATAAATATGAAGTAAAGTGAAGTTAGGCATTATGACCCTGACTTTATCTTTACATTCACTTTTCACTTTTATAATGTCAAGCGAACACGTGTATAGAAATAGTTATCATATAAACAATTATTTTTTTTTTTATTCAATATTTTTTAGCATTTGATACATATAAAAAGAAATAATATTATTTCTAAATTTTCTATAACAATATTGTTGATTTAATAATTGAATATCATGGAATTTATTTATGTTATGAATTAATTAGATTAATTAAAATATAGAGATTTGTTTTTTTTCATATATATAATTTTATATATATAATTTATTTTTAATAAATAGAAAATGAATTAATGTTATAAAATAAATTATAAATAGAATCAGTTTTAGATATTTAGATATTTATTGCGTTTTAATTTATTATATAATTTTATAGAAAATTTTTATCGAAATTAATAATTATTACCGAGATTTTAGTTAATTTTAGTTTTAAAATTATCATGATACATATATAATTTTTTTACAAATAACATATTTGTCAAATATATATTACTTCATATATTTATTAAAGAAGTTAACAATAATAACAGAAACCATTATTATTGTCACATTTTTATTTTAAGCAATTATTTTAACTTCAAAATCATTTAAATAAATCAATTTCATTATCAGTAATTAGTATAAATTTTATTATCTGTAATCGGAAGTTAACATCAAAATAAATTATTTTGACTAATAAAATATATGATAATAATATTGATTTTAAAATAGTACGTTAAATAGAAATTTTAATTTTATATCAAAGAAATTATTATTTATATTACATTAAATTAAAAAATTAAATTTTTTTTTTTATTTATGAAAACTTTATTTATGAAATATAATTTTAATTAATTTTTACATATGCTATTCCTAAATAAAATTTTTTTGATATTTCTTTTCTGGATTTCATTTTGTTTCTTCTCTGAACGTTTTTATTCGTATTATATTTTTTTCTTTGCTAAATATTTCTTCTGCGAACTACATGAATTTGTATCAAAGCTTGTGTTATTCTGCCTTTTCAATTGAGGTTGAGATGGAAGCTTTTATCATAGATTATTCTTTACAATACTCTTATATTCTCAATTTTCGTATTCGGTCTCTTTGTACTCTTCGTTCCTTCATATTATTTCATTCTCAAAACTTTTTAATCTCTAAAAAAGCATAATAAAAATTGATAGAGCTTTTTAAATAAAATTTCGCAATCAATTTTTAATATAGTGCATATTTTTGATTTTTCTTGATTTATCTTATTTTTCTTATTAATTATTTCTTATATTTTATAATAAAATTAATTCTTCGATTCCAGTAAAAATTTACATCTGATCATTATATACCTATAAATATATATATTAATTCTATTAGAATATTAAAAGAAATATTATACATAATTCATGTAACTATTTTTTAGATTAAAATATTATAGATAAGATCATATTATAAATATTAAATATTAATATTTTATTAAATTTAGAGAATAAAATTGAAACAAAAAATAAGAGATTAGTATAATCACAGCATAAAGAAATTAAATTTAATAAGAATTTATAAATAACTTATGATGAAACGATTGATTTATCATCATGGTGTGCGGAAATATGTGTGTAACTAGCACTTACGTTGACAAGCGGGGGATTAAACGCTCGTAGTGCGTTGTACCATTACACAATTGCAATAATTCGAGATTACCCACGATGGTCCATATAGGTTGCAGATTGTTGCGTAATAATGCATAAGAGCCGTGAATACGTATTTCCTGTTACTGCGCGTTTGTGCGTTAACAAAGGATGGCTAGTATCTAGAATGCAACTGATCTGTTCCAACAGTGAGCCAGTTAATACATATATCGGGTGTTTCAGAAACGAACGATTCTATGTATAAACAAAATAATTTAATTTTAAAATATATTCATTAATAAAATTAAATAAATAATTTTGAAAGCATTAAATGTTTGTAAATACATTCAAAATAATATTATTAAATAATTCACTTTCTGCTTTCGGGAAGAAAATTTTGTTAGAGATAGATAAATATAAATCAATTAAATTTTGGAACAGGATTATTTTAATGGAATATTTTAATAATTCCTAAATTGGTAAGATTCGGTAGATAATATTTTGCATAATTTTCTTTTATATTTATTTTTAATGAGAATATAAGGCTCTATATATATATATGGAAAATAATATCTGATACTACGATTTACACAATTTTATTATTACTGTATTTCGTTCGAAATCAAAATTACGAACACATACATATAAATAAATAGATATATATTTATTCGTACATATCATTACAATTTACACGAAAATCTGTTCTTATCACAATCAATTAATCGCTGTTAATCCATCGTTCTCGCTCGTTATCTACGGTTAAAATACGATTTTATCTGTCTCATATGAATATCCGGTGAAATACGATACTTTTCACGCTATTGATTATAGAAAATGAGACTGATGGGATTAGATGACTGTTGTTTTCTACGCAGGAAATTAAACAAGAATGCGTCAGTTGAAACATCTGAAGCCGCTTAAGCGATGCTTCGTTACGTCTTTACAATAGCTATGATTCAGACTGTGTCAGAGGAATGTATGAAAGCCAAAGTCAGCGAGGTGAATCCGTGTAAGCAACATATGCGTGTCATATATCATATGCGTTAATAGTAAAATGAATAGCGTTCTTATAATTAGATTTTTATTTCTTTATACACATGTATATGTTCAACACGAAATTAGCTTTTCTTCTAAATAAAAAATAAGAAGAAAAAAGAAAAAAGAATTTGATTTCTATTCTTTTCTTCTTCATTTACGATATTTCATCGATTATCACATAATATTAGCGAAATAAATACAATTATGAGGATTTATAAATTTTTATATAAATTAATTTAAATCAATTTAATGTATTATAAATTCTTTGAAAATCTCATCGATTTGCTTAATTGGATTAACATTTAGATTATAGTTAATATCTTGTATAATCCGTATAAAAAGATCCATATAATTTGTACAAATATTGTATTGATAATCGATTCAATTATCTGTTTATCTATGCCTTATTAATTAAATTGAAAAATTTAAATTTTCATTCTTAATTGAGAGTGTTTAAAATTATTTTATGGAATTATAGAATTATGTTTTATTCATCAATATTTACTATTTAAATGATATTTAAATATTTAGATATAAGAGATTTTTAGATACTATTAGACATACTATTATTATATTAATTATTATTTAGATGTTTAAATTATAAATATTAGATATCATATCATCTATGAATCGTATTATAATTTCATTAAGATTTATTAAAATTACTTTTTAATCGACGAACCATCTAACAAGAAATTATACTAACTTTTCTATTATATAAAATTATTTTAATTTTTTAAAGCTTTTTGTTAACGTCGTTGTCAGTCATATATATATATTGAGAGTGATATATATCAAATCAATCAATACTGTTCGATCGGTCTATTTCTCGTTGCAAATTAACTTTTAAATCCGAAAATTAGCATCTAGGTGAATCTATGGAACTTCAAAGCAAATCAGAATTAATCTTGATTGATTTTACTCAACTTTTAACGAGTTTATGTTGTTTTAATTGAAATTAGTGAAATTATATATTCTATTTCGTTTTATTCCATTTGCTATTTGTTTTTTTATTAATTAAAAGTAATCAGTTTCGAGTAGATTATTAGGGATCATTTTTGATAAATTGGCATCGTTTCAATTTTTTCAAATAACTAAATTAACATATCTTTGAGGAGAAATATAGTTTTAAAAAATTTGACAAATATTGAATTATTTATAATTTTACATAACTCATTTATAGGATTTAAAAATTTGATCGTTAATCTAATTTGATTATCAAAATTATTTTATCATTTTATATTATTTTACTATTTAAAAATATAAATTACAATACAATCCAAAGATTTTATTGAAAGAACATATATTTCATGTTAATTATCATTATTAGATCAATAATACAGGATTTGGTTGAATAATATTCAAAAAGGCATTCTTTATGGGAAGAAAAGAAATAGAATAAAATTTTTTCGTTTTCTAGAAAATCGAGTTTGAATATTTTTTGATTACAAATAAAATTGACTGATTCTTAATTGCACAAATGAATTATCGATAGAAGATATTTTAGACAAACAATAAATGTAGAATTAATTTTATTTCGTTTAAAAATTAATTTTCGAAAATTCGAATTTTTCTACATTTTTTATTTATTTTCACGTAGAATAACCTCTTATCAATAATTCATTCATATCTAATCGAAAATTAGGCAATTTCATTTGTAGACTAAACATTTTTAAAACATTTTTGATTTTTTCAAAAGTCTTTTAAAAACGAACAAATTTTATTCTATTTCTTTTTTAGTTTTTTTTTATAAATAATCATTCTGTGTCCAGTTGTATATTATTTTTGAATTTATTAGGTTCTATTCTACTACTATATTTTCTGAATAAATTTGTACTATTTAGCCATTGATTAATTATGCAAACGATCGATCGAAGATGCAAAAATTCCTTATATATCACGTACATCGGTGAAAGCAATCCAATATTTTTGTTTATTATTATATAATATTAGCCAAATATATAAGTTTCTATATCATTTTCAAACAATTATTCGTTTTTACTAGCAGCAATTTTCAATGTGGTGCATCGTGTGATAAGATAAAGACTCGAGCCTTCTCTATTCGTGGTAGTGAAATGCAATTGCGATAACGATACCGGCTCTTTTATGTATAACGTGCCACTTTTGCAGCTAGACGTAATCATTTAGAAATACACAAGCTTTAACGGTTTACGGACGGAAATGAAAGCGAGATTACGCAGTTGTTGCTGTGCTATTTCTGCAAAATTACCTTTCGTAACTGTGTCCCGTAGTCTTTTGTTATTACTAACTTTTCGTATGTTAAGTGTCGACATTTTCTTCATCAACATTGGTACTGATTTGATATATGAAAGCTGTTAAGGTTCAAGCAGATACGTAAAAAAAGATTTAACTTATATTATTATTCGAATTCGAAATTATGTAGTCTCATTATATTGTATAAGTCTAAAAAAGGAATTTGGAATTCCTTGTTTGTCATACGAAAAAAAAAAAAAAAGAAAAATCGTATCAATTATCGATCTTTTTAAACTATAACACGAGTGAATTATTCGATTTTAATCTTCTTCCATGTAGTAAATGCCTAACATACAGATATCCGTTTAACGTTCCCGTATATGAGCAGGATTAAAATGTCAGTTCGTTTTGAAGGAAGCTCATCTTTCTTAACTAAATCCTCTTCATTTTTCTATTCAATTCTTCTTTTTCTCAATTTCTTCTTTTTCTTGAATCCTCCTCTTGAATCGGTAATCATACCGTATTCTTCTCGAGACGAAAATTTATTGGTAATTAATTTGATAAATTCTTCGATTCGTCATGCTTATTTTATAAATAAAATAACGTGTTGAATTTGAACGATGTTGAAAATACCATATTTTAAATTATCAATAAGAAGATTAACGATTTAAATAAGGAGAAATAATTTCTACGAACACGTGATTCAAACTTCTGTTTCTTTTAAGATTAAAAATGGCGGACGGTTATTCTTATTATATGCTTCATTCGATTCCCGCGCTTTCCCTCAACTCGGTCGCGTTTCGCTTTTTGTTGTTTCGTCGCTTGTTTCCGTTTTTAACACGTTACCAGGCAGAAAATATGGCGATCTAGAATACTCTTAATGGCATTATAGCATTATACAAAATAGAATTGGGTGCTTGAGGGATTTCAGAAGCCGTAACAGTTAACGATGCCTTGGGCTACTTCGAGTGAGCCAGTCGAGCAAAATTTGATGGTGAGTCCGGATTGGCAACAGCATACACGCCCGTTGGATATATTTTTCTCTGTTCTCGTTCCATCATTGTGGTTCACAGTCGGTTCAAGTTATTGCATACGAACGGATTGGTCTTGTCATCGTGATATGTTCGCTTTCTTGTACGAATAATTTCTTCGATCGCTCTCGTTATAGAAGAAGAAGAAGAAGAAGAAGAAGAAGAAGAAAAAAATAAATTAATTAAACGGCGGATATGGCGGACGAGGAGAATAAGGAAGAAACTGATCGAGAGGAGGATAAGGAAGGGTGAGAATAAACGATTTTCTGTTCAACGATCAGAACGCGATTTTGCTTTTTCTTCTTTTCTTTTTTTCTTTCTTCTCAGAGAATTCTCAGAGATTAGCTACTATACGAGAGTATCTTCCCTGTCTCGAGAAAAGAGTTGTCAATCTCTCATCTGGTATATATATATATGGAATATAATACTTCAAATTTTCAAGAGTAAAAAAGTTATTAGAGAATAATTTTTTTTCAGATTTATCGTGTCATATTTGAAAATGAAACGATTCGTATCGAATAGCGCAACAAGTCTTCTTCTGTTTTCTCTCCTCTTTTCTTGATAAGTCACATCTTTTATTCCCTTTTTTTTTTTTCTCTCTCTCTCTCTTTCTTTTTCTTATTTTCCACTTTTCAAGGAAGTCGTTAAAAAGATCAAAGAACAATTGCAACGGTTGAGACGGTCGATTATTGTTGGATGTTGAATATTTAGAGCCGGTAATTAAATTTCACCTGGCCAATGTTTCTGAATTTGAATCGAGGGGCGGAGTTTCAGCGATATTCTATTCTTTCACGCCATTTTTAACTTTCTTTTTTTCCTTTTCTTTTCACCAATTCTTTGTACAGATTTTGTATCAAGATATCAAACGCTATTCGACGATTCCATCGCAATTGCATTCGGCCAAGTTTCACACTGTTCTCTCGCTTCGTTGTTCCTTTTCGTTTACCTCACTTTTTTCTTGAAACCCTTTCATTTATCCTTTTCACATTCTCTTTAACGAACTTCTTCTCCCCAATAGAATTAAAATATGACTCCTTCAAAAGTGTTTAAACGAACTTGAATACGATGCTCCTCGACCGGGGTGCACTGTTGGGGAGCATTACGTATTTATAATTTAATTCGTTGCCGGTGAAGTTCGCTTTCTCGCTCGTTACGTGTTCGCAAAAGGGATCGTTTAAAAACAAAAATAGTTTGTAATACGATTCCGAGAGAAGCTGAAAAGTTTCTTTTCCAAAAGGAGGAAACCTTTCTATGAAAGGTAAATTATTCGATAGGATCTATTGTTTTTAAGGTAATTAGTTTATTACTGTTGATTAACTTTACGATAACTGGGAAAACAAGTTTTAACAAGTCAGGTTTGTTCTCACAGGTTATTCAATCCTTTCACAATAGAGGAAAAGAATTAATGGGATATAATACGGAAAAATATTTATTATTTATTTTTTTTTATATTTATAATATATAAAGTGAAATGAAACTTGGAATATGATATATTGTTTAATATAATTATATACTTTATTTTAAATTTAAAATTATATATATATATATATTTTATACAAATATACAAATATGAATTGAATATATATTTTTATATTAATCTTATTTGTATAATAATTGTTATGTAATTGTAAATAAAATTTTTGCCTACGATATAATGTAATTATGTAATATCAAAAGTTGGAAAAATTTGAAGAAATTTAGAAGAAGAAGAAAGGCAATATATTAAATGGCAATATCTTATAAAAAGATTTTTTCTTTAACGGAATTTTTTTTAGATAAACAATTTATCAAAAAATCGTGAGAAAATTTTTATATCGCGTTATAAATAAATAGATAATTTTACATGAAATAAAATTATTATTTTTGCAAATATCACATCCGACATATATTTTTAATAACACATTTTTTTTTTACATATTAATTGAATATCTGAATTTGCAGTTGCATAAAAATCTGCAGTCTATTTATTGAATTGAATTTTTGAGACACTAAGAAAATGTCATTCGTTTGCATCATAAGAGAAAATAGACGTTCGAAATAATTGCCTGTTTATAACCAGATTATAAATCGTCTGCGAAACAATGCAATGTAAATCAGGATTTATTCAAAATAAATTTATATTGACAGACGAAAAATTTACATTAAAAATTTATATATTTATTTATAAAAATTTATAAAAATATGAAACATATTTTACGATATTTTATCTTAATTCATCACTTTCGATATTCATTTTATCCACATTGATAAAATGCTTTTTCATATTTTATTTCTTGTTGTACAAAAATTTAAATTATGATATATATTTCAAAATAAAAAAATATGTATATAATATGAATATATATTTTTTGGGGGAGTGAGAATTATCGAAATCATGTATTTTAAAAATTTAAAAAATTTTTTAAAAATTTATAAATTAATATTTAACGATTAAAATCGAAAGATTAATATATTTTTATATTCTTTAGTTTTAGTATTATCATTAATTAGTTATATATTAAAATACAGTAGAATTTCCATTATCTTAATACTAATTATAGAATACAAGATTAATAGAATACAAGATTATTGTAAAATAAAATCGCAATTTTCAGATAATGAAACACTTGACTTTTTGAATTGATAAATTATTAAATTTTGAGGAAAATAATATACTTATTTACAATAAAATTGAATCAATGGCATAAAGAATTTTTATCATAAAATTTATCTTTTATCAAAAAGTTTTTAATATATAAAGAAATGTATACTTTGCAATTAATTTCCCATTTTAATCTTCTATTTTTTAATGCCAATGATTTTATTATATATATTTGCCAATTTTCACACAGCTTTCATTTCTTTATTAATTTAATTTAATTTCTGATTTCAACGAGTATGTTATGTGCCCAATGTTTAATTTCAAATTAAATATTATTTTTATTAATATGGAAATACGTATGTTTATATTGTTGTGAGAGATTTGTGTAGAGATAATGTACAATTCGGATAGTAGAATGTTCAGTTAGTAAAATATTCCAGATAATGGAACTTACAATACGGAAATTGTATTACAGCTTACATATAGGATTAAATAAAACAACATGAAATTATAGCATTCTATTATCGATTGGGTCACTGTAATTCTCAATTTTCCATATACAGGAAAATTCCGACTGAATAATATACACAAATGGACAAAAAGTGTTAAAAAAATAGAAAAAAAAGAAATTAGAATTAGAAAAGTTTTTCGTTCAAAATTTCGAGAAAATTAAATTTGAAAACTTTTTAAGCAATAAATGAAATTAACTAATTTTCTATTGGATACGAGAAAACTATCGAGATTATTTTACACGTGAAAAATAAACAAAAAAATAGAATAAAATTTTATTATTCAAATTCTTGTTTTTGATATATTGAATATGCGTTGTCAAGAAATTCGTGAATACGATTTCTAAAAATTCGCATTTTCGAAATTATTTTTTAAATGAAATAAAATTAATTTTGCTCATAATTGGGAATTAACCAATTTCACTTACGGTAGAAAAATCTTCAAACTCGATTTTTTCAAAAACGAAACTTCCAACGAAAATATTTTGGCCTATTTTTTTCCCTTATTTTTTTTTTCATAAGCAATCACTCTCTATGCTCGCTTGTACATGTCATCCTAATCTAAAATTACCTAATATTTACACAAAAATATTAATAAGAAATAATCAATGCTTTTCACTCTCTCATTAGTACTTTTTTTTTTTATAAAAAAATAAAAACCAATATTTACTGCTACTGGACTATCTTTGATCTTTCTAATCAAATATCCTCTTCTTCGATCTATGTTTCTTCCTCGAGAATTAATTCGAATTCCTCGAAGGAGAATTCTTCGAAATAGCCGGTCAAAAGAATCGTTCGATGGGAAGGCCATCGGAACAAACGTCTTTTTCGCGTTTTTATAAGCAGCAGTTTCGATTCTCCCAATCGGCGAATGTGTTCCCTTCATTCGCCCCGTGGTGATATCAGCAAGTCCTTGAACGTGTCAAATCGTGCTGACATTGTAAAATGCAAAAATTTCTGGTAGCTCGGGGCGGTGGTGAAAGGAATACGTGGAAATTTATCGCTTCGCTGTAGAGAGAAACGATCTGCGCTTTTCTATGCACATCCTTTGATCGTCCAACATTTTTTATTCATACGTTAAAGCTTAATCGTTCTTCTTCTCGTTCGTTTCCTCGTGTCCCTTTATCCCCGATTTTTTGTTCGAAGAACGTAGTGTGTGTATACTATGTGTGTGTGTGTATGTGTGTTTACGTGTGTACACTCGACGATTATGTTAACCTCCTTTGCGTTAGATCGCTCGTCGATCTCCTCTTATATATATTATATATATATATGTATTTCGTTTCTCTTATCTGTGAACGCGTGAAGTGCAAAAACAAGGATTAATATAATAGAATTTCTGGTATTGTTTCGTGGTAATAATACCCGTGCATTTACGAATGGTTATGAAGGTGTTTCAGATGGATTACGTTGATTAGTTATTCGTCTAACTACACGTCAAGGTTGTTATAATACGGGAAATTGTGATTAAAAATAGTTTAATAGGGTACGATACCGTGACATTTATTAATCGTCTTGAAATACGTTCGTATTGTTTTCTAATCACAATGTAGAATTGATTTTGCTAAAAATATAATAGTGGTTGTTACACAATTGAAAGTTTTATTAAATTGTAACGATCGTGTGATTATTTTACACATGATTTTTTATTAAAAAAACTTAGTAGGTTGTGTGCAGCGTATTATTCTTGTAAGTGTTATTACGTTAACATTTGTAAATAAAGGAATAATTAATTTTATACCATCTATATCTCTAATGTGATTTATATTATGTTCGTCAAATATAGGATCTCCTGTATCATTAAATTTAGTAAGGGAGGTGATGTTAATAATTGGGTTAATTTTTTGATTAAAATATTTATTTATTATTTTAATGATATATTGTTTATTTAGATTTATTTATTCAGTTTATTTATTTATAGTTATTAATCATGGAAAAAATTATATTAATTTTAAAATTAATAATAGAATAATAATTGATTATTATATTTTATTAATGCATTGAATTCCATTGAATTTAATATTTTTAAAGTTATATTTTATTTATTTAAATAGTTTAATTGAAAATATTGATTTGTGAAATCAATGATATAAATTTATTTATTTTAAATTATTATAAAAATATTAATTTGTAATATATAAATGGATAGAATTTTTTA